ATAAATGTTTGATTGTGTTAGTAAGGAAGAAGGAGTAGATGGATATTTGTGTGGGTAGTTAACTACCTCTGCCACACTGTCTGAGTAAATGAAGTTCTACTAGTCAGATTTCTTAAATGCAGCCATGGCACTCCTGTACATTCCTGGGGTTTGTCAATTAGATTCTTTTGCATAGTAATTCAAGTTTATAAGCCCAGTCTACCATATGAAAGAGTGGGATATAATTCTCAAATTGAATGTCATAAGGTAGAATTAGTACTAGGTTGTATGTTAGTCACATAGTTTGGGATAAAGGAGGAAGCTGCTGCTTTTGTTGTTGTTTGTTTTAAAATATGTGTGTGTAATGCAAATCAAAACCACAATGAGGTACCACTACACACCAGTCAGGATGGCTGCTATCCAAAAGTCTACAAGCAATAAATGCTGGAGAGGGTGTGGAGAAAAGGGAACCCTCTTACACTGTTGGTGGGAATGCAAATTAGTACAGCCACTATGGAAAACAGTATGGAGATTTCTTAAAAAGCTGGAAATAGAACTGCCATATGACCCAGCAATCCCACTTCTGGGCATACACACCGAGGAAACCAGATCTGAAAGAGACACGTGTACCCCAATGTTCATCGCAGCACTGTTTATAATAGCCAGGACATGGAAGCAACCTAGATGCCCATCAGCAGACGAATGGATGAGGAAGCTGTGGTACATATACACCATGAAATATTACTCAGCCATTAAAAAGAATTCATTTGAATCAGTTCTAATGAGATGGATGAAACTGGAGCCCATTATACAGAGCGAAGTAAGCCAGAAAGATAAAGACCATTACAGTATACTAACACATATATATGGAATTTAGAAAGATGGTAATGATAACCCTATATGCAAAACAGAAAAAGAGACTCCGATGTATAGAACAGACTTGTGGACTCTAGGAGAAGGTGAGGGTGGGATGTTTCAAGAGAACAGCATCGAAACACGTATATTATCTAGGGTGAAACAGATCACCAGCCCAGGTTGGGTGCATGAGACAAGTGCTCGGGCCTGGTGCACTGGGAAGACCCAGGGGGATTGGGTGGAGAAGGAGGTGGGAGGGGGGACCGGGATGGGGAATACATGTAAAAAAAAAAAAAAAAAAAAAAGATACACTATGGTTGTGATAAATAAATAAATAAATAAATAAAAATAAATGAACTATAAAACTAAAAAAAAATAAAATAAATAAAAATCCACCAAAAAAAAAATATGTGTGTGTGAAATTGAAACCTACAAAATAACTCAAAAAAATAAAAGAAGACCTAATTAAATGGAGAGACATCCCAGGTAAATGAATCAGAAAACGTAGTGTTGTTAAGATGTCAATACTTGGCTTCCCTGGTAGTTCAGTGGTTAAGAATCCACCTGCCAATATAGGAGACACAGGTTTGATTCCTGGTCTGGGAAGATCCCTTGTGCCATGGAACAACTAAGCCTGTGAGCCACAACTATTGAGCCTGTGCTCTAGAACCCAGGAACCACAACTGCTGAGCCCACGGACCGCAACTACTGAGGCCCGAATGACCTAGTGCTTGAGCTCCTCAACAGGAGAAGCTACCACAAAATGAGAAGCCCATGCAACACAGCAGAGAGTAGCCCCCACTTTCTGCAACTAGAGAAAAGACTGCAGCAGTGAAGACCCAGCACAACCAAAAAATAAATAAATATAAAATAAAATGAATCTTTCTGGAAAAAAAGATGTCAATACCAACTACTCAAAGCAAACTGCAAAATTCATTGCAATCCTTTCAAAATTCCCATGCCATTTTTTGTAGATATGAAGAGATTAATCATAATTTGCAATAGCCAAGACATAACTGAAAAATTTGAAAAAGTTGGAGGACTCACACTTCCCAATTTGGGAATTTCCTACAAAGCTACAGTAGTTAAGACAGTGTGGTAATGGTATGTAGACACAATGGAGTAGGATCAGTTGTGTCCGATTCTTTGCAGCCCCATGGACTGTAGCCCACCAGGCTCCTCTGTCCATGGGATTCTCCTGGCAAGAATACTGGAGTGGCTTGCCATTTCCTTCTCCGGGGGATGTTCCTGACCCAGGGATCAAACCTGTGTCTCTTTTGTCTCCTGCATTGGTAGGTGGAGTCTTTACTACTAGCATCACCTAGAAAGTCCCATGGAATAGGATCGAGAATCCATATTTATGTATGTATGTATGTATGTATATATGCACACGCACAATTGATTTTCAGCAGAGACACCAGGCGCAACCTACAGAATAAGGGGAAATGTTTGAAAGTTACATATCTGATAATGATTTAATATCCAGAATATATAGGAACTTGTACAAACCAATAACAAAGTGGCAAAAAATTTTTTTTGGCTGCCCTGGGTCTTCGTTGCTTTGCACAGGCTTTCTCTAGTTGTGGAGAAAGGGGGCTGCTCTTCTTTGAGGTGTTGTGTGCAGGCTTCTCAGCGCAGTGGCTTCTCTTGTGGAGTGCAGGCTCTGGGCACACAGGCTCAGTAGTTGTGGTGCATGGGCTTAGCTGCTCTGCAACATGTGAAATCTTTCTGGACCCAGGATCTAACCCGGTTCAGTTCAGTTCAGTCGCTCAGTCGTGTCCGACTCTTTGTGACCCCACGAACTGCAGCATGCCAGGCCTCCCTGTCCATCACCAATTCTCAGAGTTTACCCAAACTCATGTCCATTGATTCGGTAATGCCATCTAACCATCTCATCCTCTGTTGTCCCCTTTTCCTCCTGCCTTCAATCTTTTCCAACATCAGGATCTTTTCAAATAAGTCAGCTCTTTGCATCATCAGGTGGCCAAAATTTTGGAGTTTCAGCTTCAACATCAGTCCTTCCAATGAACACCCTGGACTGATCTCCTTTAGGATGGACTGGTTGGATCTTCTTGCAGTCCAAGGGACTCTCAAGAGTCTTCTCCAACACCACAGTTCAAAAGCATCAATTCTTCTGCGCTCAGCTTTCTTTATAGTCCAACTCTCACATCCATAACATGACTACTGGAAAAACCATAGCCTTGACTAGACGGACCTTTGTTGACAAAATAATGTCTGCTTTTTAATACGCTGTCTAGGTTGATCATAACTTTTCTTCCAAGGAGTAAGCGTCTTTTAATTTCATGGCTGCAGTCACCATCTGCAGTGATTTTGGAGCCCCAAAAAATAAAGTCAGCCACTGTTTCCCCATCTATTTGCCATGAAGTGATGGGACTGAATGCCATGATCTTCGTTTTCTGAATGTTGAGCTTTAAGCCAACTTTCTCACTCTCCTCTTTCACTTTCATCAAGAGGCTCTGTAGTTCTTCTTCACTTTCTGCCATAAGGGTGGTATCATCTACATATCTGAGGTTATTGATAATTTCTCCCAGCAATCTTGATTCCAGCTTGTGCTCAGTCCAGCCCAGCGTTTCTCATGATGTACTATGCATATAAGTTAAATAAGCAGGTTGACAATATGCAGCCTTGACATACTCCTTTTCTGATTTGGAACCAGTCTGTTGTTCCATATATATCACTAGTGGGAATTTAAAATAGTGCAGCTGGGAACTTCCTTGATGATCTAGTGGTTAAGACTGCATTTTCATTGCAGGAGGTACGGCTTCAAACCCTGGTCAAGGAACTAAGATCCCGCATGCCATGCAGCATGACCATAAAGAAAAATTAACTGATAATTAATTAATTAAAATAAAATAGTGCCACTGCTATAGAAACTTTCCTCACAAAGTTAAAAAGGATTACCATATGGCCCAGCAGTTTTACTCCTAATTATATACCAAAAAGAGTTGAAAATAGGAACTCTTAATAGCCAAAGTGTCCATCAGTAGATGAATGGATAAACAAATGGTATATCCATACACTGTAATTTGGTATTGCTTAATGGGTACAAAATTTCTGTTTGGGGTGGTGAAAAACTTTTGTAAATATTACAGTTATACAGTTGTGAATATAATTAATGCCATTTATCATATACTTAAAATAGTTAAAATATTTTATGGTGTGTATATTTTTGTTGTTGTTTAGTTGCTAAATAGTGTCCAACTCTTTGCAACCCCATGGACTATAGGCCACCAGGTAGCCCCGTCTATGGGATTTCCCAGGCAAGAATACTGGAGTGGGTTTTCCTTCTCTAGGGAACCTTGCTGACCCAGGAATCAAACCCTCATCTCCTGCATTGGTAGGCAGATTCTTTACTGCTGAGCTACCAGGGAAGCCTGTATTTGTTTTACCACAATTTAAAAACAAAGCTTGTCTTTTAAGAATTACATCACTGTCAATGTAAGTTCATCATTCGTAACAAATGTACTACCACTCTGCTGGGGGATGTTGATAATAGGGATGCTCTGCGTATGTGAGGGCAGGGGCAAAAGGGAATCTCTGAACCTTTGTCTCAGTTTTGCTGTGAACCAAAAACTACTCTTTAACCCTCTTAACCATTTTTTGAAAGACTTTTTAAAAGAGCAGTTGTGTATTATACCACAAGTATATGTATAAAGTGTATATAAAATGTATAACATATGAACATATATGATACATGAAATTATAAAATATGTATATAAAGATAGATTTTTTAAAGTATATTTATATAAAGTGAATATAGAATTATGTATTACAAAGAGCTAGAATTTTAGTCCCAACTCCACAGAAGTTATGTGTCCTTAGACAAGTTACATAACTTTTCCAAACCCTAATATTGTTTTGTATAAAATGAGAAAAATAATGATGCTTGTAGCTACTTTGTAGAGATGTATTAGGATTAGAGATGATCATGTAAAGGGCCCAAAAGAATTTCTAATGTGCAGCAAGTGCTCAATAGGTAAAAGCCATTATCAATGAAGATTTTATTCATTTATTATTTGGCTATGGTAGTTTATATATTTATTCATTATTTTTTCTACAATCATAATGCCCACTTGAACTCTAAACTGCTCATTGTCATTAAATTATTACTATTTTTAAATTCTTTGTTCTGTTTTGTTTTATAGGCAACAATTGGCATTGACTTTTTATCAAAAACAATGTACTTGGAGGATCGAACAGTGAGTAGTGTTTTCAGTGTGCACTTTTCTGCAACTCCGCAGGACAGAATGTTATGCTTAAAGCTATCATCAGTGATTGTTGCCGTAAGAAGTACTTAGCAAAGTTGCCAAAGTTAGCGTACAGGCCTTGAGGAAAACTATTACAGAATGAATAGTACTTAGCACTTTGAATTTTTTATCCTCAAGTAGACTCCAAAGGGGAGAGAAAGCCATTATTTGTGATACTCTGATAACCCTAGGCTTGATGAACAAAATTTATTGTCTTGACTTGGAATATTACAACAGATAGCATTGAGGTAAGAATATTTTCATGAAGAAATTAGAGCTGCTAAAGACCTTTTGTGTACAACTCTGAACCATTCAAACATTTCATTTGAATATCACACAATCTGGGAACTTCCAGGCTTTGTGGGAATATGGTATATACCAAAGTGACTGTGAATAGACAAAAGTAATGTGTGTCTCCTTGTTAGATTTTTGTCTTCCATCTTTTGGAATGCTCCCTTTAAGTGCGATATAAATTCTGTATTCTAGCCTGCTGTCCCTTGAAGAGATTCTTGTCACCTAAACAGTAACTCTTAAATGCATTATTTTGGGACCTATACCCAAAAAGCATTATCTCTAATGCCATTTCTTTAAGTTTGTGAGTCTTTTTCTTTTGGATGTTCTCCTTTATGTTTTAATATATAACATTCCATTTCTTAAAATTTGAAAACAGAAACTGCTTTATGATGGTAAAAGAACTTAATGCTTGTTTTCAGGCTTTTCTTCCTGGAATGTAGTTGTGAAGAAGAAAGTAAAGACACGTTTAAGTAGAGTTGCAAAAAGATATTTCTCTTTTTTTGCTAGATTATATAATAATGTTCTAGAAATAAATGTGTGGGAGAACAAGCACAGTAGTCAGAGATCCAATTTCAAAGTGTTCTGTATCCAGTAGAGAAAAGAGACATTTTATTTTCATTTCAGAGGGGCTGATCATTGACATTTACCTTTGTTTTTCTCTTTTATTTTCACTATTTGAACATGAACAGTCTACTTGTGCTGTCCGGAAGGTATAGGATTCAAAGAGAGGTTGTAGAGAGGGGGAATAAAAAGGAAGCTGTGCTTCTCATCCTGTGAAATCTTTCCTGTTGCTTTTTTTTTTTTTTTTTGAGTTACGTACCTTCAGAGCAAGCAAATTTTAAATATTACTCCCTTTTGAAAAAGGAAAGGAATTTTATGTTGTTTTCATTCCTCACATCCCTGCAACCTTTTGCATGAGTTTTCCTTTTTACCTCCTTGCCACCCTCCTCCCTTTAAAAACATTATTTCTTTTTTCTTTTTAGTATGAGTTTGTTTTTTTGTTTTTGTTTTTTTTTTTTATTTATTTTTTCCCATCCCACAGATCAGGCTGCAGCTGTGGGATACTGCGGGTCAGGAACGTTTCCGTAGCCTCATTCCCAGTTACATCCGTGATTCTGCTGCAGCCGTAGTAGTTTACGATATCACAAGTAGGTATTTTGCAACGGGTTGACCTTTCTTATTTTTCTTGCTTGTTTGACTGATTTTATTGTTAGGTACGATTGCAATTATGGGACACAGCAGGTCAAGAGCGGTTCAGGAGCTTGATTCCTAGCTACATTCGTGACTCCACTGTGGCAGTTGTTGTTTATGATATCACAAGTGAGTGGGGGGGGGATTACGCATTTCTAATCTTCTTTCAACCTTTAGCTTAGTTGCATGCATGTTCTTGTTTTGTGCTTGTTTTCTATACTGGCATGTAAAATTGAGTTTTATCATACCAACCAATCACACACCAGCTAGGTCAGAGTATTTGCTTCACTGTTTGTACCAATATATCTTATTTCTACTGTGCCAGGGTTTTTTGCCCCAGAAATTTTCGTATGGGTCTAATTGTGAACCCTCTCCAAGGCTTTCTTAGTATCCTGTTATCCCTAAGCTACACCATAATTATGGTTGGAAGAGTGTCTCCTTTTGTATTTAATTTGATTTAAGATTTCTCTAAAACAAAATAATCTCCATTTATGTCTCTTGCAAAGTTTTCCAAATCCTTCAAGGCTTCTTCTACTGAGGCTTTTAAAAGGTTCTGATAACCAGCTTTTCTCTGCTTTCACCTTCCAGCCATCCTCTTTATAGAGGAAGAGCAGAGAAAACTTAATTTCTATTAATCATTTTCATTTGAGTGAAATCTGGATTCTCTGACTAGTTTATTTGTTTTGTTGCCAACAAGTGACACTTTTCATTTCTCTCCAAGAAAAACATTTAAATGGGAGACTAAAACAAGTGATGGTCTTCCTTTTTCTTTTCCCTCAAGACTGAATAATAATGCCTTTGGCATTTTAAGTGACTGTAAATTTTGAATAGAACATTGATGACTGACAGGGAAATGCTGTCTGATTAAAATTATCTTTGTAAATTAGTTTATGATATATTAGGCAATATTTGGTTATCATTCCATTTAGTGGTCCATAATTTATAGGAAAACCAGGATAGTACCACATCTTAGACTTCTTTAAAAACATAAACTATAATGTTAGCATACATTTTTACAAATTTGCTCAAACAGAAATCTTATCTACTTAAAAATAATTACAATGACAGAATTATAAGTTAGAGGTTTATATTTAGAAACTTTTTATTTTGGTTAGGTGCCAAATGCAGTCTTTCTTTTCTTGAAGCTTTCCTTTGGGTTGCTACCTGTTTTAAAATGTATGTTCATTATTGTGCTGTCACAAGTTTTGCAGCTTTAAAATGTTTGTGCTTACTTTAACCAAATCAAGTAAAATCAGGTGTATTCTTTGAAATTTGTGCACATGTGGTTAAAATATTAGCAAATTGTTTTCTTTAGCTGCTGTAAGAATTATTGAAGTACTCTACTTAGTAGACTCCAGGGCTGGAAAAGATGGGTTTCATTATAAGTGATTCTGGTACATTAAACTAATAAACTCCAAGTTAAAGTGATCACAAACTGAATAAGCAATGCAAACAGAGTGGTGTTGAAAGCTATTGAAAGGCTTTACAGATTTTGTGGATGTGTTGGGACTTACTGGCTGACGTACTATTGGAGATGCTTTCTTTGTCACGTTTGGTATGTGTAAGTAATCAAAAGAGCATTGTGGCAACATGACACCATATTATCTGCCATAGTTATCCTTTCATCATTTAAATATTTTTTTTCAGTTATATTATAGTATATTATACTCACCCGGTCATGTCCCCAAATTTTAAATTATTATAAAATGTACCTTGTGGATTTTATTCTTGTGATTTGTTTAGATCACTGATATTTGTACTCAGATAAAATGGAGTTATGTTGCAGGCACATTAAGGGTGGGTTCTAATGTGCCACCTCCCTTCCAACTTCCAGTGCTTTTTTTTTTCCCCCTTTTTTGGTCCTTCACTTGGGAAGTTACTTGCAATATCACTAATCTCTGTCCACCTTCCTGTATACCAGATGTTAACTCCTTCCAGCAAACTACAAAATGGATTGATGATGTCAGAACAGAAAGAGGAAGTGATGTTATCATCATGCTAGTAGGAAATAAAACAGATCTTGCTGACAAGAGGTATGGAATGATTTCATATGTATATGGAATGTTTGATTTCTTTGTTAAGCAGCCTATTATTTTTGTTAGTGAATCCTATTATTTTTGTTAGTTTTAAAAGGAGAATTGTTTACTCCTTAATCTTATGCCTCCATCATTTTTCTTTAATGTAAGAACCTGAAATAGGTAAACTCAGTCCTGGAAACTCCCTGGTAGTCCAATGGTTAGGATTCTGCACTTTCACTGCCAAGGGGCATGGGTTCAATCTCTCATTGGGAAACTAAGATCCCACAAACCCCGCAGTGTGGCAAAAAAAAAACAAAAAACACATTAAACTCAGTCCTTAAAGGAAAATAAATTTTTTTGTTTGTGTAAGCCCCCATATAAATAACTCATGCAAGATTGTTTATACATGAAGCTGATAGCTCTTTTGCATTTTTTAGGCCTCATATTAATAAATAAAAGCAGTATTCTGTTAGAGAACAAAATATTTTTAAAAACAAATCCTGTCTTTAAAAACGTATTCATAATGATTAAATGCACACTCTTTTGCTAGCCTTATAAATATTCATTATAATTCAGTAGTGTAGTTTTTTCTTTTCTTTTTTTAATTGTATGGTTGAGCCAGACTGTGAGGTTGAACTGAATAGCTTGATTGTGATACCTTAGTCAAATGAGCAAAGACATATTCAAGTCACAGGATGCAAAATGTATTAACATTCACTGTAGAGCCCATGGCTTGAATATCTGCCTTTAGCATTCCTCAGTGATCTTCTACATATTGTTTTTAGTAATCTTGACAATTTAATATTTGAAGTTTTTACTATTTATTATTTGTTTATTCATTAGTTTAATATTGAAATTCTAGTAATGAACTTTTGCTGTTAATTTAAATGTTAGAAAGAAATACAGTATGTTCAAAGACTTATGAAATGTAAAGCCTATTTCTGCTCACAGTACCTCATTTGGAATTGGCAAGAAAGTCTTTTTTTATTTAAAAGTAAATTCAGCATATGACTTCATCCTTTTTTTTTTTACTTCATCTTTTCTTTATGAAAATCATTTTTCGGACATCAATGCTGTTATATAGATTTTCTTTGTTTATCTTCACTATGAGAATTTGAAGATCTTATATGTATATATTTTTGTAGTGGAGAGTCCCAGGATACCTTCACTATTAAAGATTATATATATATTTATTTCTCTTTATAGCTGGAGTTATCTAAAAGGATGCATGCAAGCAGCTGTTCTTTTACTGCATAATAGTTGGGTATACAGATATAGAAAGTTATCTAAATTATGTTTATAGTAATTTTTCTTTAAGATAATATTTGTCCATTGCCTTAGAACTTCTTTCTCAGTAATTTTTGCCAGACTATTGCCTATTAGCTTTCACATTTAAAAGAATTAGAATCTTAAAAAAATTTAATTAATAAACTAAAAGAATTGGAGTCTTGTTCATTCCATTAAAATAAATTTTGTTTTTTCATATATTTTTATCATTATTTATTACTAAATCTATTTTATTAATGTAACAGTTGCCTTTTTTTTAAAATTGAAGTATAGTTGATTTGTAGTGTTTCAAGTATATAGCAAAATGATTCAGTTATATTAATACATATATATGTATTTATCCTTTTTGAGATTCTTTTCCATTATAGCTTATTATAAGATACTGAATGTAGTTCCCTGTGCCATACAGTAGGTCCTTGGTGTTTATCTGTTTTACATACAGTATTTATCTATTAATCTGAAATTCCCAATGAAATAATTTTTAAATGAGAAGAAAATTTTTTTTTAATTTTTTACAGCATTAAAAGTAAATCTTTGGTAGTAGGTGGCCTTTCATAAGCATAACATGGAATCCTAATGCCTTAATGGGAAAGATTGATAAGTTTGAATACATAAATATAAAAATTATATTCACCTATTAGGTTGGCCATTATTCAAAAGATTGATAGCGCACTGTATCATCAAGTGTCTGAATAGATAAGAGCTCTCATACACTGAAAATGTGACTAATACAGTTTTTAGCAGAAACAGTTTAACATCAGTATTTAAAATACTTTTTGACTGAAATCCACCTTCAGTAACTTATTCTATAGATACACCCACAGAAATGTGAAAAGATGAACATACAGTAGTTATTATTGTACCATTACTTGTAATATTAAAGAATTAAAATCAGTCTGAATGACTGCTAGTAGTAGTAGTATTTTATTAATATAAATGAAATTCTTCTAGTCAGTGAAAAAAAAAAGGACTTTATTGCTGGCTTACACATGAAGCTTAAGAAAAACCCTTGATCAGTGCATATACCTGAATCCTTTGCCTTTAAAACAAATAAATAAATAAGATGGATCTTTGGCCTAGAACAAATCTGTGTAAGAATACATGAAACTTAACTAGTCTTTTTTGGTAAGAGAGTGGGATTATATAGGAGTTTATTGTAATGGTCTTTTAAAAATTACTGTTGTAATCAGAAAAAAAAGTTTTAATAACAGCAATTTAAAGTTAAATGACCTTTTCCACTTTCTTTGACAATTAGTTTTTTCATGAAAACCTGGAGGAAAGACTGGACTATATCTGTTAGTGTCTTAGCACCTAGGTGTTCAGTATTCTTTTTGTCCTCTGTAGCCCAGTGCTTCGCAGATGTTCAAACCTGAGAAACACTTGGTAAACATGGCATATTAGACCCTCTTTTAAGATTCTGGCTATAGAGGATTGTGGTCAACTTTAAATTTTTTGATGTTTCTGAGCCTCCTTCCAGATTCAGTTAATCCAGAGTAGGTCCCTTGAATCTATGTTCTAATTAATCTTTCTAGGTATGTGCGTGCAAAGTCATTTCAGTCATGTCTGACTCTGTGGGACCCAATGGACTGTAACCTGCTAGGCTCCTCTGTCCATCAGGATTCTCCAGGCAGGAATACTGGAGTGGGTTGCCATGGCCTCCTCCAGGGGATCTTCCTGACCCAGGGATCAAACCTGTGTCTCTTGTGTCTCCTGCATTAGCAGGCAGGTTCTTTACCACTAGTACAACCTAGGAAGTCCCAGTCTTTCTAGGTGCTTCTGACAAATCCAAACCACAGTTGTGAACCTTGGTATAGCTAACTTTCAACCATTTTATTGAGGTGACTTATAGTTCTACAACTAGTTAGAATTTCTACGTGGAATCCTTCACATGGAGGGTTTATGGACTGATAATCATTGATTCGGGAGATGTTTATTGAGTATCATGTGTGTCTCAGAGCAGGCTGCTCTTATGATAGTGAACTAAAATCTTCAAGGAGATTTTATTCTAGTGAATAAACCAGGCAATAAATAAATAAAGGAAAAAATAGCATGTTTGATAGTGATACGTGCTAAGGGTGAAAATAAAGCAGGGAAAAGGAATATGAAATGTTAAGGACAAGTTTGTGATGCTAGATGGGATAGCAGTGGAAAACCTCCCTGAGAAGATGACTGGTGACTTTTGAGTAAAGAAGCTAAGGAAGTGAGGGAGTAACTATGCAAGTATGTTGAGGAAGAAAAGGTCCTAGGCAGATGACTCAGAAAATACAAAATTACTGAGTTGGGAATACACTTATTTGAGAGACAGCAAGGAAGGAAGTGTATATAACTGATAAAGAGAATGATGGAAAGAGCAGTATGGAAATGAAATGAAATGAAAGATAATGAAGGCCAAAAAAAAAAAGATAATGAAGGCCAGATCATGTAGCACAAAGTAAAAACTTTCTGGATGAGATTGGAGGGTTTAAGCAGAGGAGTGGCTTCTCATAGGTCACTGTTGCTCTGTTGAAAATGCATAAGGGGAGAAGAGAGGAGGATAAACTAGACTTTATTCCAAGCAAGAAATAATGATGACTTGGACCAGGATAGTGGTAACTTGTGTGGTGATCAATGGTCAAATTTAGATATTTTGAAGATAGAACTGACAGGATATACTGATGCGATGGATAGGATACATACTGATGGATGGAATATATGATGTTGGGGAAGGAGTCATCAAGAATGACCCCTAGATTTTTGACCTGAGAAGCCATCATTAACTGAGACAGGAGAGACTGCATAAAGAAACAGTTTGGGAGGGAATATCATGACTTTAGCTTTTGGTCATTTTAAGTGTAGAATGGCTATTAGCTATCCTAATAATTAGAGGTCAGGTAGGCAGTTGGCTTATGAGCATGCAGTTCAGAGCAGCAGCAGTCCAAGATAGATATATAAGTTGAGAGTCATCAGCATATAGATGATATTTAAAGCCATGAGACTGCATAAGATCTCCAAGGCAGTAATTGTACATAGAGAAAAGGTCCAACGAGTAAGTTTTAGGGCATCTGAAATCATTGTTTTTCGGAAATCCATACTGCTGAAGTGTTTAAAGTTCTGCTGCTGATTATCAGCTTACTTTCAAATGGTTAAAAAAACATATTTTAAAAAATTTATTCATGAATACATAGAGAATGAGTGGATGTAACAAGCAGATAGAATAAAGCATTAACAGTTGAAGTATTATATATAAAGAATGATTTTGCTTTTAGAAGATGGAGAAATTGTAGAATAATATCTTCTTGTAGACGAGAGCAGAATCTACTACATTGGTATAAGTTTGAGGAATAAGGACAGTTCTTCCACAGTTGTGGGTCTAGAGGTAGAATATGAGGCACACACAAGTAGATTGTAGGATAGTTGTGGTGCGAGCTTGTAGAAATTCTCTTACATTGCTTTGGTTTTCTATTTTGTAAGAAGCAAGATTTATCAGCTGATAGTTTAGATCCAGTTAATTAGAATAGTTGCTTATTCATTAAACACCTATATGATTGCTGGGCACTAGGAATACCAGGATAAATGAGAGAACACTGCTCTTGAAGAGCTGACGTCTTAAGAAACTTCCCTGTAAGAGAAGCATTAATACTGTGTATCAAGAAACTTTAACATACGTATCTTTGACTCACTTGTTCCAGTTACAGAAATCCACAAAATCCAACCTAAAGAGATGATCCAAAGTGCTCAAAGCACAAAGATGTCCATAGCAACATTTTTCACAGTAATGTAAAATTTGAAAGCAACATACATTTTTAATACTTTGAGACTGATTAAAATAGAAAAATGTCTAGCCATTAAAAATTGTTTTACATTAAAAATTTTTAATCACAAAACTGATATTAAGAGAAAAATATTGGGTTGACCAAAGAGTTTGTTCGGGTTTTTCTGTAAACGGTTACAGGAGACCCAAATGAACTTTTTGGCCAACCCATTAAGTTATTAAAGTTTTTAAAATTTAAAGAATACAAGTGAGCTCAGCCAGTAAAAGCAAATCATTTAAGAAAAAAAAAAAGACTTTAAAAAATGTTTAGTTGGGTGAAAATACGGAAGTACACAGATTTTAAGTGTAGTTGATTTATAATGTGTTAATTTCTGCTGTATAGCAAAGTGATTCAGTTATGTATGCATTCTTTTTTTTAATGTATTCTTTTCCATTATAGTTTATCATAAAATATTAAATATAATTCCCTGTGCTATACCTCTGGTTCTTGTTGTTTATCCACTCTGTATAGTTTGAATTTGTTAACCCCAAACTCCCACTCCATCCCTCCCTTCCTCAGCAGCCACAGGTTTGTTTTTTATGTTTAGATCCCATATGTAAGTGATATCATATGGTATTTGTCTTTCTGACTTAAGAAGTGCACAAATTTTAAGTATATGCAGTTTGATAAATTTTCAAACTAGTCTTACCTGTATAACCAGCACCATATTAGGAAAAGTTCAGAACCTTGTTTATAGTCTTCATATCATCATCTTTCAAAAAGGTGGATTTGTTTTTTTTATTTTTCTACAGGCAAGTGTCAATTGAGGAAGGAGAGAGGAAAGCCAAAGAGCTGAATGTTATGTTTATTGAAACTAGTGCAAAAGCAGGATACAATGTAAAGCAGGTAAGTTATTTGAGAATGAGTGGGTTGAAGTTATCAAATTGAAAAAGTATATTTTAAAATAATTGTATGAGTTTTCTATTCTCTAGTGTAAGATTTTCTTCCAGTTGACAGTAGCAGGCCTCATGAATTAGCAGTATACTACAGTGAACAGTGAAAAATCTAAATGTGGCATAGTTTGGGAAAAAGAGAGAAGAGACTTGTCAAACTTTACAGATTGTTCCTAAAACGAGTGTTTCATTATGATTACAAAATGATTGCTGGGTTGTAAACTCGCCATACTCTCACTGCGTCCCTACTGCCTTGTTTTAAGGTGAATTTTCTTCATTTTAGTATTTGATGATAAGATGATAAAACAAGTATTTTTTTTCAGGCTTGGTATTTTGCTTGTTATAAAAATACATTCTGATTATTTTATCCTTAATAACTGCTGGTATTAACAGTGTTCATAACAGTGTTTATTCCTGTTTTGGGGAACAGGAAAATATGGGGAGACCTCACTTTATCAAGCTGTTACCTTAAAGATGGGGTAACCAAAAATTTACCTGCTTAATTCTTCAGGTCTACATATCGTATAGAGTACTGGTCCCAGATTTATAGGCTTTACTTCCCAATAAGTTATTTTTTAATTGTATGTTATCAGTAAAGGGGTAAAATTAAATCCTTGAAACTGTGTAAGTTGAGCTTTATGAAAAATTCTCTATATTATTTTCATTTTTGGCTCTCCCCAATTCTCTTTACCTTGAAACATATGTAAGTAACACTGAATTGGCATTAATGCCCTCCTCATAGTATACGGTTTCATGGCTCCATATCTGTATTCATGCTGTGTTCTCTTTGCTTAGAATACTCATTTTCTTCTTTCCTGACTGATATCTACCCATACTTTTTTTTTTTTTTCATTAGTTGGAGGCTAATTACTTCACAGCATTGCAGTGGGTTTTGTCATACATTGACATGAATCAGCCATGGAGTTACATGTATTCCCCATCCTGATCCCCCCTCCCACCTCCCTCTCCACCGAATTCCTCTGGGTCTTCCCAGTGCACCAGGCCCGAGCACTTGTCTCATGCATCCCACCTGGGCTGGTGATCTGTTTCACTATAGATAATATACATGCTGTTCTTTCGAAACATCCCACCCTCGCCTTCTCCCACAGAGTCCAAAAGTCTGTTCTGTACATCTGTGTCTCTTTTTCTGTTTTGCATATAGGGTTATCATTACCATCTTTCTAAATTCCATATATATGTGTTAGTATACTGTAATGTTCTTTATCTTTCTGGCTTACTTCACTCTGTATAATGGGCTCCAGTTTCATCCATCTCATTAGAACTGATTCAAGTGAATTCTTTTTAACGGCTGAGTCATATTCCGTGGTGTATATGTACCACAGCTTCCTTATCCATTCGTCTGCTGATGGGCATCTAGTTTGCTTCCATGTCCTGGCTATTATAAACCGTGCTGCGATGAACATGGGGTGCACGTGTCTCTCTCAGATATGGTTTCCTCGGTGTGTATGCCCAGAAGTGGGATTGCTGTGTCATATGGCAGTTCTATTTCCAGTTTTTTAAGAAATCTCCACACTGTTTTCCATAGTGGCTGTACTAGTTTGCATTCTCACCAACAGTGTAAGACGGTTCCCTTTTCTCCACACCCTCTCCAGCATTTATTGCTTGTAGACTTTTGGATAGCAGCCAATCCTGACTGGCATGTAATGGTACCTCATTGTGGTTTTGATTTGCATTTCTCTGATAATGAGTGATGTTGAGCAGCATCTTTTCATGTGTTTGTTAGCCATCTGTATGTCTTCTTTGGAGAAATGTCTCTTTAGTTCTTTGGCCCATTTTTTGATTGGGTCATTTATTTTTCTGGCGTTGAGCTGGAGGAGTTGCTTGTATATTTTTGAGATTAATCCTTTGTCTGTTGCTTCATTTGCTATTATTTTCTCCCATTCTGAGGGCTGTCTTTTCACCTTACTTATAGTTTCCTTTGTTGTGCAAAAGCTTTTAAGTTTCATTAGGTCCCATTTGTTTATTTTTGCTTTTATTTCCAATATTCTGGGAGGTAGGTCATAGAGGATCCTGCTGTGTTTTATGTCGGAGAGTGTTTTGCCTATGTTCTCCTCTAGGAGTTTTATAGTTTCTGGTCTTACATTTAGATATTTAATCCATTTTGAGTTTATTTTTGTGTATGGTGTTAGAAAGTGTTGTAGTTTCATTCTTTTACAAGTGGTTGACCAGTTTTCCCAGCACCACTTGTTGAAGAATTTGTCTTTTTTCCATTGTATATCTTTGCCTCCTTTGTTGAAGATAAGGTGTCCATAGGTTCGTGGATTTGTCTCTGGGCTTTCTATTCTGTTCCATTGATCTATATTTCTGTCTTTGTGCCAGTACTATACTGTCTTGATGACTGTGGCTTTGTAGTATAGTCTGAAGTCAGGCAGGTTGATTCCTCCAGTTCCATTCTTCTTTTCAAGATTACTTTGGCTATTCCAGGTTTTTTGTATTTCCATACAAATTGTGAAATTATTTGTTCTAGTTCTGTGAAAAATACCGTTGGTAGCTTGATAGGGATTGCATTAAATCTATAGCTACCCATACTTTTAAGTTTCAGTTTAGAGGTCAGCTGTTTAGAGGTATTTTCTCTTACATTCTCCACTGTGCTGTTCTGTGCTTAGTTTCTTCATCGTGTCTGAATCTATGTGACCTGATGGACTGTAGCTTACCAGGCTCCTCTGTCCATGGGGATTCTCCAGGCAAGAATACTGGAGTGGGTGCAATCTCCTCCTCCAGGGGATCTTCTCAACCCAGAGATCGAACCCAAGTCTCCCCCATTTTAGGTGGATTCTTTACCATCTGAGCCACCAGATGAGCCCATTCTCCACCATACCTCCAGGTATTATCACTTAGTGATAAATTACTCTCTTGTGTGCTTTCATGGCTCCTTGACCCCTGTGAAACCCCTGTTATAGAACTTACCACATTGTATTGAAATTGCTTTCCCATCAAAATTATATATTCTCAGAGCCTGCCAGTATATAAGGAATTTATTAAACAGTTTGAGTAATAAAAGTTGCCGTAATATTATATGTCACTGTATTAAGACAAAGAAGTGGGTAGCTTCATCTACCTTTCTCTATTACAGATGTTTTGATAAGGATGTGAAATAGTTGCTTATATGCTTATACGGACTTCTCCAAGACATCTTTGGATCTGGGTTAATGTGTAAAGAAGGGGATGCTGTGTTCCCCTAGTCCCAACCTTAAGTACTCTTGTAGGTTTAGAAACAGCGTTCTTGAGGGATAATTTGTATATCACAAAATTCACTTGTTTTTTTAAGTGTACGATTCAGTTATTTTCAGTAAATTTACATCATTGTGCAACCATCACCATAATTCAGCTTTAGAACATTTTCATCACTTGCCATGCAGTTTTTTCTAGAAGCCTGACTCATACAGACAGATATTGGTAGCCATTGAGAATGAAGAGAGACTTTTTACGAAACAATCTTATCCTGAATTTGAAGCCCATTTGCTACTTTATTATTTCTCCTTATTTAGATGATATGTCTGAACCTGTGGTTTTGCTAAAGTCCCTATTCTGTTAGGACCTGATTCTGTTATTTTTTAAATATAAATGTGACTAAAATTGCTGTTTTCAAACTTTGGAACAAAACTGCCTTTTAATTTTTTTTGTAGCTTCTTAACTCATAAAAACCATTACTTTTTATTTTATAGAGAGTACCATGGTGTGTTAGAATTTTAATTCAATATTTAAAGACCTATGCTTTGTCAGCTTATATAATTAAGTTGAGGAAGAAAGAAATCCTGGGGTTCTCACATGCCCATGAAATAATGAAAAAAATTTTTAAAAAATTAAAAGCTTATGTTAATAAGCACATTTAAATAATAGGTTTAAAATCTTCCCCCCAACTGTAGATAGTTCATCATATAAAATGCATTTCTGCCATGTGTGAAAATTACTGACTGATTTTAACTTTCAGATAAGAAATAAATCATAATCCTTTTTTTATGGATTATCTGTTCCTTGAGTTAGCTTTTATAAGGGAACTTAAAACTAATCAGCTAGAGCATCCCTTTTTTTTTTTTTTAAAATATTTATTTATTTATTTATTTATTTTTTATCACAACCATAGTGTATCTTTTTTTTTTTTTTTTTTTTTACATGTATTCCCCATCTTGGTCCCCCCTCCCAGAGCATCCCTTTTAAAAACTTAATTTTTTAAATGACCAGTGTTTTTTAAATAGAAGTGTTTATCTTTTTAGTTGCGCTACATCACCCCAATGCTTTTTTTAAAAAAAATAGTCTTTGATACCACTTTGTATATTAGTTGTATAGAAAAATTCAAATTTTCTGAAGTAAAATCCTTATCAAATCTGACCAGTAATCATTGCCCAATTCTTGACTGGACAATGCACCTTGTGTGGTTGGAGTTCAGTGCTTATTTTCCTAGGATTAGAGATTAATGGGTCTCAGTTTTAATGTGCATCAATTACCTGAAAGTTTATATAAGCTACTAGTTCTTGAGGCATGATTTATGGATAGTGATTCAGTAAGTCTAGATTACTTTTTGATAAGAATAATCATTTTTAATAAGAATACCAAGGGATTTCTCATGCAAACCATACTTTGTAAAAAGACATAGAAAGCCATAGAGATGGTTAGTCAATAATATCAAATACATTCAGTGTGATAATTGTTTGAACAAGTATTAATTCCCTAATCCCTGTTAGATACAGAAGACAGGCCTCCTACACTCAAACCTGTCAATCTTTTGTAGAAGCCAAATTCAAAACATGAGGAATTAAACGTCATGTGTCCCAAGTGTTAAAATGTGTCTTCATAAAGTAAGAGGACAAATGTAGTGAAACCCAGAAGCTCTCTTGATTTGGTTGTATCTACACTTTAGGACCGTCATTTAGATACCAAGTCTTGTTGATTCTCCTTTTCCTGTTGATATATTAAGGTACTTGTCTCTTTATT